ATTTGAATAATTCTCAGAGGAAACTTCAATTCAACCACCATTTAATGGAACACCACAAACTTGCAATTGCGCTCACTCTCTGCCGCATTGCTGCGCACTCCCGCTCAGCTTTCGCTGCATACTAATGCTCATAACTGCTATTATACACACATGCATACATACGTAGAATGTGCATACGTCTGAGCATATACGTGCAGGCTTCGTCGCACAGAGCAAGTGTCGCCTTGCAGTTGCACCCCTGCTCCTGTTTGTCAATATTCATTCAACATATGCATGTATATACACACATGTGAGCATATGACATTCAGGCATACATACATACATAAGTGAATGGGCATATGTTTGGATGCATGTAACGCATCGTGTGAGTGACCTATCTCAATGCAATTGCATGTGTCGTTTAACATTTTTAAGTTGTTCTCATTTATCTTCACTTAAATTGACGCAGGCGAACCGGCAGGCAGGCCGGCCAGCTGCGTGCAATACTGTTGTTGCTGAATTTTATTATTCTTCTGCTACAGAGTGCAGTGCGTGTTTGTATCAGTGTTGTTGTTGTTGTTATTATTTTATTATTATTATTGGTCATATGTGAAGCATGTGTAGTGGTTTTTATCGTCAGAAAACTATTTGATTTATTTATAAATAAAATTTATTATTCAACTAGCAACTAAACAAAAAAGATAAAATCAAGCCGCGTGACTTTTTCGTATGTAAGTTTGTGTTATATATATATATTATATATGTATATATAGTGATACTTAATGCAGTTACCTAAATATTTTTGCATATTAATTTTGAAAATGCATGTTAATGCCGAATAAAAGAAAATCATCTCTAACTGGTCTTTCCAACGGAGTAGAGGTCTTTCTTTACCTCTACTACCACCAACAGAAAGTGCATTGAAAACTTTCAAGACTGGAGTGTTCCTATCCAACCGGACCACATGTCATGAGAGCGCAATCGCTGAGTCCTAACACCGACTCAACAGATGTTCTCATCGGCCATATCTCCACTCTATATAGTAAGACGGTAAGGATGAGCGACTTGTAGAGTTTGGTTTTCGTTCGTCGAGAGAGGGCTTTACCTTTCAATTGCCAAATGGTGTTAGCTGCCAAATTAAAAACATAAAATTGTTTGCGAAATATTTAAGCGAAAGGCAAAACACAATAAGTTTTGCCGAAGAAACTTTGGTAAATAAAAAAAATTTAGTTGAAAATAATAATAAATATAAACTATGAGGCGTAATTTAACTTACTTACTTGATGTGTCACTGAGTTTTGAAGGTTGACTCGAATTTCTCTACAGTTTGACGTTAAGCAAAAATTTCCTTTGGGTGTTTTTCAAAACCATTTTTTTACTTTACAACACTAAGACGAGTATTGCTTAAGTTATTTCAACTCAAACCACTTAAATAACTCAAAAATTTACTCCAAAAATTTGCGTCTACATATTTTGTCATCTTCAAAATAGTACCATTAGCAAAGCTACTCTGTCACTGATTCGATTTTAATCTAGGCAATGGTTGCAGACTGTCAGCCATCATTTCTTTAATCTCTTCAATCTTGGAAACTAGTCAAAGACGCAAAAGGATCAAAAGCGGAATAATCTACAAGGCGATACTCTTTGCTAACTGTGTGATGAGAATTCAAGATTTACTTTGACGCTTTGATACTCCTGCGCTATGCAGAGAACTAACGCAACCCATTCATACTGCAATCTGCCAGAGAAGTTTATAACTTTCATGAACGTGAAAGGATATATAATATTAACTTTGGTACAAAGTATGTAAGTACCAGAAGGAGGAGATATAGACCCACCAAATTGTATATATAAACAGAATGACCGCCTGTCTATCCATCCGCTTGTCTATCAACGCGCTTTTCTCGAAACTGCACGTTCTCAAAGTCGCTTGTCAAAACTACTCAAATTTATAGTTTTGCGTCAATAGAAAGCTTTAAAAAAAAACGATTTTATTTGTTATGCAAGAGAAACAAATTTAACTTCTTAATCAAACCATTTTTTTTTTTTCAAACAATTTAAACAACATTTATTCATATGCCAAGTAGTAGAAATATTTTTCTATTTACTTTGTGTGTTGCTAAATATACCGTTGTTTGTGCGCTAATACTACATGCATTTAAATGCAATCAAAAATTATTTCTACTATATTTTTTGTTGTTCTTTTCTTTTTTTTTTTTGTTTTTTTTTTTTTTTTGGTTGCACTAGAGCTTTCAAATAATCCAATCGTATTTGGCTCAAGGCCTTTGATAATTTTGTTTCACAATTGCACAAAGGCGCACATACATACATATACATGTACATATACATATGAATAAATATACATACACGTGTACATACAGCAACGCCAACATGGCAACAAACAGCAGATATAATGACCGACTTGCAGTTGCAGATACAAATAGATATATACACGATAGTAAACACTTTCATATACACAACCAACTTCTGCAGTAGCAGATATAGTCATTGGCTGGAAACTGTGCGGGCGATGGACGGGCACGTAATGTCTCATATCGGCAGTCAAGCATTTAGGTCTGACAATAATAAGAATAATTCCAGCGATTGGAAACGCATTCAATGCGGCACTTTGTATATTTGTATCTATCTACTTATATACGTGTATGTACATATTGTATATTATATATATGTGCTTGTGTAAATACCTAGATTCATATTTTAATCAAAAACTAATAACAAAAAATTAATTTTTTGAAATATTGCAATCAACAAATACAGCTATCAGCAGCAGCTACTGCTTAACAATAGCATCTATGTACTCGTATGTATGTATGTATTGTTGTGTCAATAAGCATATGCGAATGCCGGCATAATTAAATTGCGTGTGCGTCGTTCGTTTATAGGCAACTTTTGTTAAATTAAAATGAACATGAATTTCTTTAGCCTATACAATACATACTTATTTATATATATATAAATAAATACATGTATATAGGAGTATATTTATTATTTCCATATATATTTTTATTTATGTATGCGAATGTTGCTTTTGTCTTTAATTTTTACTTGCATTGAATATTTCCTCTTTTTCAACATTCATTTTCAGTCTCACGCACATCTGCAATTGCAAGTGGATTTTTTTTCTTTTCACATTTTCAATGATGTTAAGGTCGCAATGTGCTAAATAATTAAAATGTTCTCGATTTAGACACAATTAAATAATTTTCCAATAAAAGCGAAATATTTTTATGCTTTTTCAAGTTTATTTTAGCAAAATGTGAAGGAGAATACTTTAAGAAAAATTTTTATATTCTTTTCTTTTTTTAAGTTTCTCAGGACTGTTTTTTCTATTCCGATAAATATGCAACATTTTCTTCGTAACGGGTTGAGTTGACCAGAGGTTGTTTACACATTTTTTTTTTCTTTTTTGCAAAAAACTTTTTGCTTTTCTTCTCACATCAAAAAATTATAGAGATCTCTACCGACCTGTCACTTGTCAATTGTCCTCTTCTAAATGCATTCGCGAATTTCAGTGTGGCAATCTTGTCTCATGCGACAGTTTGTTAAGCTTGCATCTGCGGTTACTAATGTCAAGAAAAGATTACCTACAAGACCAACAGTGAAAATGTATAATAATGAAGGGTAACAATCTCAGCATGAAATATCGTGTTGGGGCTTATGCTTGCAAATGCATTAAATATTTTGATATCGTCTAATAATTTTAGAGGAAGAATTTTAAATAAATAATTATTTAAATAAGTAATTATTTGTTGCTGATGAAACAGCATCTAATCGGTTTTTATTTCTCCTTAGCATTCTGAGCTCGAACTTTATGTCGAATAAGCTGATAACTAAATGCGCATTCGAGCAGTCTGTCAGGGGGGGTTTGCATTGAACGCATTTAATATGCAGCTTCCTCTCTTATAACTATTTTAGTCCTTTCAGTCCATACTGTTTCAGAATGTCTTCTATCAACCTCCCCCCCTTTCCTAGCCACCTATATTTCTTCCACTCCTCTCCATTTTGAACATATCTTCTTGAAATGGTGGCACATACTCCCAGAACGTACATGGAGGCTTCATTCAGCTTTTACTATGCGAAGGGCAAAACACACCGGGGTGAAATAAAAAACTCCTCAGATATATAAATCCTATAATCATACAGAAGAAATTTAGAGGAGTCTCTTCTGGATACTATTTTATTTTATTTTATAATTATAAAAAGTCTCCATAGTTTAAAACTGCAAAAATCGAATAAAAAATTACGCTAAATATTTTCAAAACCATACAAATTGAATATATACTGACAACTACTCCAACAAATCATAATATCAATTGCATATGTATAGTATAAGTTTACATATTATAAGAATGAGGGAGTGTATGTGAAAGTGAGTCTGTATATATGTACATCTTCTATATACGTATGCATATATGCACATATGTATATTTCCTTGTAGAACTCGAAAACGGAAGACGGCATAAAGAATGAAGGCAGAACATGACCCAGTTTAGTCTGTATGACGACTGACGACTGCTTATAGGCTGATGTTGTTGTTGTCATTGTTGTTGCTTAATAATCGCATTATTGCTTAATTGTCGGGCGCACTCGTAACCCCACAACCTAACGACAATGTATGTATGAGTACATAGCGTCAACTGGAAAACAACCCGACAACTCGGCAGCCTGAATTGAAATGTAGAAAAATATATAAATAAATAAATAAAAAATGGGGAAAAGAAAACGAAGAAAAGAAAAAAACGGAATGCATACACCAAGTAGATGTAAATTCAACCGTCTGCACACATATGTACATACACACATGCTTACAATTGTGTGTGAATATGCAGATTCAGAATGCATTATCATAAACTTATTCCTCACGCTCTGGTACGCACTTCTGCTGACGTGAAAAGCATTGGAATGAAGGAGAATAAAAAAATATCCATATATGAAAAATAATAAAAAAAAAATTATTTTTTCACTGCATTAAAGGATTCTTTGTCATTTCTATTTTGCAGAACAACAATTTCGCATTGACACCGTGCTGAAAAGAAATCTCAAAACTTCTCACATATACACGTACATATATACTTACAACTAAAACTCCATACTACTTCGCAACGCCTGCATTTATTTGAACCAATATATACTCTGAAAATACAATAAGTAAATATACACTAAAAGGAAACGGGAAGAAACCAATTAAAACGGAAAAAGGTGAGTCATTTCAAAAATTATAAACATACATTTTCACTTAGTTACATTTCTTCCGGTATTTTGAAGTTTTGCTTTGCACTTTATTTTACCGTATGTATGTATGTATGTATGTACGTCTGCGCACAGCATTACATATCGGCGCATGATGTAAAATATTTAATAATATTTTTTGTATATAAATTTATCAATATACTGAAATCACGTACATTGATTGCATTTCAATTCAGTGCACATAAAATTACCGTTATAACAAAAAAAGTAAGCGCACACAGTATATTTGGTTACCAAAGAAAGCTAAAAATCAGTAAAAAATAGTATTTCATATTCATTAATTTGTATTCATAACTAAGATTATAATTTTTGGGAAATTCACACAAACACACACTTATACACATACATGCAAACATATGTTTTGACGTAAATGCATTCAACATTTGGTGCGTGTTTAGCGCAGTCTATTCACGCGCATACATCTGTACATACATATGTATGTATGCAACTCTACTGCAACTTTCAAACAATAGTAAACATTTATGGAAACTTATTAAAAGTCACGCAACTCCTCTATTTAACAGGGAGTGTTAAGTCTTGCATTTTAAATTTTACTAACAATGGGAAATATTTTGGAAATAAATTTACATTTTTCTATGTAACTGTATAGTTGTACATAAATACACAATTTCTATGGTCATGGTGATTTTTTTATTGGATTTAATTTAATTAAATTTATTTTAATTTTATTTTATTTAATTAAATTTAGTTAACTTTATTATTTTTATTTAATTTAATTTAATTAAATTTTGTTTTATTTTATTTTATTTTATTTTATTTTATTTTATTTTATTTTATTTTATTTTATTTTATTTTATTTTATTTTATTTTATTTTATTTATTTTATTTTATTTTATTTTATTTTATTTTATTTTATTTTATTTTATTTTATTTTTTATTATTTTATTTTTCTTTTTATTTTTTTGGTTTTTGAGTTTTCTCGCAAACCTTGTTTCTCTGCTAAAATCAGAGATTTCTATATTACATAAAAGCTATATATTATAACTAGCTGTAATGTATTGAGCAATATAAAATAAATATAAGAAAAATTAAATGAATTACAACTGAATGTAGCACAGCATTTCACAATCTCTTTCTGTTATCATTCTGAGTGAAGAAATCACGTACAAATATGATTATTGTAATTTACAACGCGTTGTAAAACCATATGCATATGTATATATTGTATATAAACATGTAACTTTAAGCACGTTCTTATCGCCGGCCTTGCTTTTGTGCATCTTAATTTTACTAAATCTCATTACTTCTCGCAGACCTTCTCCAATTTATTTCTATTTGGCAAAATAAATATATAGACATTTTTTCTCATTTGAATCCAATATCGGAATATCGGATCGGCCAGTATGATAGTAAATCCTTCATATATGTATGTATGTGCGGAAATATTTTTTCAAATCTAGATCGTTTTAAGACCCAGCCAATTTGACAATAAAATGAAATTTCTTCTTTAATTTTCAATTTCTTAATTCTAAAAAGTTCCTTAAATCTGTCAATGCTTCACAATCTTGAAATTAATAAACTTGTGGTGCGTAAATTTAATAATTATTTTGAAACTAAACGCGTGCGCGTGATTATCATTAGCTCTGCCCACGCTCCATTCATTGAGGTGAAAACAAAAGACTTGTCGAAGGAAAAATATGCGCAGTTTTGTGGCCCACTTGACTGCTGAAGTGTTTTTTATTTCTAATTATTAACAGGTAGAGACAATGCTACCAAAGTACTACACTACAAAAAAAAAATACACAAAAATTTAAATTCTGGAATTTCATTACAATTCCCTTAAAGACGTTTATTGGTTGGTAAAATTCTTCAAAAATCAAACGCAAATTAAAAATTTTGAAAAGTTTTTTTATTGCGAAAATTTCTTTCTAATTTGGTCTCAGGTTTTTAAATGCTTTGTATATTTTTCTAAATAAATTTTCTAAACTAATTTCTTATATACATTAGCCTTCTTGGGGGGTCTTATTAGAAATTTGGCGTGTAGTGAATATCGGGTTAATGTTTGATTTACCAGGTCTAATGCCATATGGTCCAGTTAGTTTGTTGACGGCGGGCTTTAATTTTTCACACAATACGCTCGATAGGACTTATTGTAAATATAAGCCATATTAAGAAGATTTATCCCACGGTAATAGGCCCAGGCTGTAGGATCGTACTTTGGGTTTGGTTGGGCACAATAAGGTTACGATCGTCAGGCATGTTTTCGTCTGACCATGTACTGCAAAGTAGATGTTGTATGCATCTTGTCAGCTCTTCACAACATAGCTCAGCTGATAAGCCTTTAGCTCCAGCCCCCTTGTTGTTCCTTAAGCGTGCAATCGCTTTTCCGATCTCGTCATAGTCGAGTAAGCAACGTTTATTCCATCATCATCGATTCGAGCTTAGAGTTCGTCATTTCCGGATGCAGAATTTTCACTGCCATTCAGCAGGCTGGGGAAGTGTTCCTTCCACAAACTCAGTATGTAATAAATACACGTTATGCATAACAAAATTTAAAGCATGAAAAAAATTAACTAGATAAATAGACTTCACAATAGATCCATTCACTGTTCGATCATTGATTTTTTATATGTTTACAAATTGGTTTTTTTTTTTCAAGCTACGCCAACTATATTTTTTTAAGCTTTGCCGAAGTCATTAGACATCATAAATGGTCCGGTTATTAACGAATTTTTGTGCTAACGCCTAAGTATACTCATTTGTATGTACATATGTATGTATGGCTGTATATTTGAGTAGAAATATTCCGCAATTTGTTTTGTACTTATCTATATACTCGTATAGGGCAAGTGTGCCGATTGTGGGCACCGTTTCCTTTTTATTAGTTTATTTGAATATTTGAGCAAGTACATAACATAAGTGAACATACATATTTATACCAATGGAAAGCTTAGAGACCTTATCAAATACTCAGTGTAGCAACCATTTTTGGCAAAGAAAAAATGTGTAGCCTGTTACAGGAACCCTTGGAAACGGCGCTGAAAGTGGAAAATGCTGAGGAGAAAATTCAAATTTACTTATTTATTCAATCTTTGCAGTGAAAAGAGGAGAACAAAATACTGCAACGTCTTTGAATTGCGTATCGCTCTCTTAGACTTCGGAATCGGAAGTCTATTTTCATTGCACTCGATGGAGTTCGATGCTATTAATTTCCATGAAAAGAGGCCCAGATAGATGAGACAAAAGTGCAGATCATCGTCAGATAGTGGTGATGTCTTGGCGCGTTGAAGTAATACTTTTGTCCGCTGGTATATTATATATTATATGTATTTACATATAAGTAATTAGTGATGTTTTGGAGATAAGGAAATGAAACTCAGTTTTATATTTTAGAATAAACTTAAAGGAAACTCGCTACTGTAGTTTATATAAAATACATCTTCCACGGCGAAATCTGAAACCCAAATAATAAAACTCTTTCAACCGTTATATGTTCAATAAAGGTACATATACTCCCATTTTACCACTCTGCCTACTCATCTATATACGGCATGTTTACCATTTCAATTTGTTTCTCCATTTTGTACCAAAAAATCGAATTTATGTTAAGTAAATACAATAATAATTTCATGTCCGAATTCGAGTTCGCGACAAAGTCATTGCAAATACATATATATATGTATATGTACATAAGCATGTATGTAGATACATTGATACACGCTTGTAGAATGGACTAAAACTCTGAAACGACATTTACAATTTAACGAAATAATAAAATAAACTTCGAAAACGTAAACATGAAATGTAGCCAGAAAGTACAAATAAGGAAGAGGTGGAAAAACTTTGCACAAAAAAGGTGCCATTAATGTATATAGTCCAACGAAATGAATTCATTTCAGCAGCCATTGGCGAAAATAAATAAATAAATAAGTGAGAATAAAAGTCTGAAAAAACCTCCGAAACAATGGATAACAACTTTCGCGTATACTTAACGCGGTCTATAACTGTACTCGCACACGAGAATATATTTTATTTTTATTTCATTTTTTTTTAAACGTTCAATGGATGACGAATCATATTTGAGTCAATATTGACTTTTGTGGGATATATAAATTATTTTTGCACCCTGTAGGTAAAGGGAACACTTTTGAGGCGATGTAATTCCATTTAAGAAAATGAATAAATTACACATCTCCTAAACCTCACAATATTTTAATTAAAGTCCATAACCGAAGACTCAGACTTGCACATACAATGCAAATCCACAAAATTTTATTGCATTCGCATCAGCATTTAGATGAGGATAATTAGAGCGTTAATGCAAATAAGGCCATCTTTGACAGATAATACTTGTAGTCTATCTCCACTATAATACTCTTCATTTGCTTCACTTGAATTTTTTCTAAATTAAATTTAAATATAATATTCGTAAAGTATAAAATCAAAATTATTAAATGTAGAATTGCGCTGGGAACTGAATTTTCTTTTTTCCGTACTAAAAATGTAGCATACGAACACGTCAAAGTCGTATTAGTTATACCGCTGAGTTCAGTTCAGGATTTCTCTGAGGGTTGCTTGTTTTCAGTGCGTTCGAATACCATACGGGTACATTGCGTTCGGAGGTTATTTTTTTTACAAACATTCTCAAATATACGAATTTCGGAATTATTTGCGTTTAACTCGGAGCTAATTTTTTTACGGAATATTTTTTAGCACTTTTGTATAAATTAAATTTATATGCAGGTAATCAGTAATGGAAATTTAATAGGACACCTAGCCGCCATTGACGTAAGTCTTAAAACGGATATCGTAGAATTTTTTTATTTTTATTTTTTTTTTTTTGGAAACTACATATTAATTGAAGAAATTCAATTAAAATTGGAAAGAAAGTTTTTTTCGTGTATTCTCATGCAGCAGGGAAGAAGAGCTTGAATGAGCTCTAGCATCTCTTTGGCCACAGTCGGGAATTTCTGGATGAGGCACAAAGC